GTGGAAATGCAAACTGGTGCAGCCACTCTGGGAAACAGTGTGCAGGTTCCTCAAAAAATTATAAATAGAACTACCCTATGATCCAGAGATTGTACAACCAGTATTTACCCAAAGAATACCAAAACACTAATTCAAAGGGATACATACATCCCTATGTTTGTAGCAGCATTATTTACAATAGCCAAGATATTACCATATTATCTAGTAATTGCACTATTGATATTTACCCAAAGACTATGAGAACACGAATTTAAAAAGATATAGGTACCCCTATGTTTACTGCAGCATTATTAATAATACTTAAATTATAGAAACAGCCCACGTGTCCATTTATAGATGAGTGGATAAAGAAGTAGTATGTGTGTGTGTATATATATATATACACACACACACACATACATATACACACACACAATGGAATATTACCTAGTCATAAGAAAGAATGAAATATTGCCATTTACAACAACATGAATGGATCTAGAGAGTATAATGCTAAATGAAATTAGAGGAAGACAAATACTGTATGATTTCACTGATGTGAAATTTAAGAAAGAAAGCAAAGAAAGGAAGAAGACAAACCAAGAAATAGGCTCTTAACTATAGAGAACAAACTGATGGTTACCAGAGGGGCAGTTGGGTGGGGTTGTATATGAAATAGGTGAAGGGGATTAAGAGTACACTTAACATGATAAGCACTGAGTAATGTATAGAATTGTTTAATCAGTATATTGTATACCTGAAAACAATATAATGTTGTATGTTAACTATACTGGAATTAAAAATTTTAAAATGGAACTTAAAAATATGCTTAGTTGAATATTGTCATCTTATAAATCTGATTTGTTTATTTTAAGTAGTTGCAAGCAAGCATTTAATTGTGCCTTTTAATGTGTATAACTGTTGGTCATTATCTCTATTTTTGGCATAAAGGATATAAATCTATTATCTATAATTTTTTTTCAGAAACAGTAGAGAAGTTGTTGTAAATATTGTCTTTTTGTATATAGAGAGCATTAAGTTTGATCAGAGTAACAACCATCACCTGTACGTGTCCCAGTTAGTATTTTTTTGGTGATGGGAGCAAGAGACAGGAAGAAGAGAGCAACAAAGATAATTCTGACTTACTCATTTGGAACTTTGCAAAAAGCATGGTCTCATGGTTCGGTTTTCTTGTCTCTAGCTCTGCCTTTTTCAGACTCTGTGCTTCTCTAAGATAGGAATCCAGAGGAGGATTGATCATTTCTTGGAGCACTAAAAACCATGGCTCAGGTAAATTGGTGTTTTTTCATGCTCTGTTTAAGTAGTCACTTTTTTTACAGAGTATGTGCACATTTGCATTCCTTATTTCTGAAATGTCCTTCCTAACTGACCCCACTCAGCAAGGTGCTCCCCAGCATTCCAGTCTTATAAGTGATGAGGATCTTTCCTAAGTTTGTCTTTCTAATCAACCTATATTCACATAATTACTCAAAAATACTTGGAGCATCTTTGACTAGAAGCACTGATTTAACAAAAGCAGATTCCCTGATTTTATAAGATAGAGAAGGTTGTTAATTGTACCACACATGAGAAAACTTTGAACTTCTCCTTATACCTAAGTTTCCTGGTTAGACAAGATCATTAGTTTTGACTGGCCTCAGAGCTCATGCTTTGTGAGCTTTTAAGATCCATTAGAACATGATTAGAGCCTGAAAGAGATCAGGGATCTTCCCTGGTAATCCATAATTGACATAAAGCAATAATATGGATAACTTTGAGAGTCAAAGTTATGTGTTAATCTTGTACATGTAAGTTTAGATGATCTTTTCTACCTTTCTGTTGCTTAGAACAAGGAAAAAATGTACATTTTATAAGTGATAAATAGTACAAGAAAGATCATCATTCACACACAAAAGTTGTTGAGAATTGTAGACTCCCAAAAGTAAGAAATGCTTATGAGATTATTATGTAAGCTAAATGTGTAAATAATGCACACTTAGTAAGTCAGACATTCATTATATGGAGCTATTTTGCAGCCTATTAAAATATGTACTAAATTATTGGTAAGAAGGAAAATGTTTATGAGATAATATCCTGATACAATGATGGATTGAAGTTTCAGTAAATTCCTTAATTTTACACAAAATTTATAAGAAGCCGGGGCGCCTGGGTGGCTTGGTCGGTTAAGCATCCGACTTCGGCTCAGGTCATGATCTCACGGTCCATGGGTTCGAGCCCCGCGTCGGGCTCTGTGCTGACAGCTCAGAGCCTGGAGCCTGTTTCAGATTCTGTGTCTCCCTCTCTCTGTGACCTCCCCCGTTCATGCTCTGTCTCTGTCTCAAAAAGAAATAAACGTTAAAAAAAAAATTTAAAAAAAAAATTTATAAGAAGCAGATTTTATGAGATTTTACAAAAAAACTTCCCCAGTTATTTTTCTTATTTCTTAAAGAATAAGGAAGAGAAACTTGAATTTATTGAGAACGTATGATACACAAGATACAAGTGTAATTAAAGAAGAGTGGATGATAGAGTATTGTACAGGTTGCCTTTGTGTGCTATTTCTTTTAGTTGCGACTTTACATCTTTAATTTCTAGACTTATCTGCATAATGAGATGTTCTATATGCAGGAATTACCTATAGCAACAGGAATATGTTGGTACTTCAGAAGAATTGATTTCTTTAGTGTCTCATTTATGTCAGTGGCTTTCTGCTGTTTTTTACCTCCTTTGTGGAGAGTACCCTGTCATTTCCCCTCTGTTGAAAAAAATATTTTCTTTATTTCCACAACTGGTATTATATTTGTTGTTTCAGAGATCAGTGATGTTCAGGGATGTTGCCATTGACTTCTCTCAGGAAGAGTGGGAATGCCTGGACTCTGCTCAAAGGGATTTGTATAGAGATGTGATGTTGGAGAACTATAGTAACTTGGTGTCACTAGTAGGTAAGGAAATGTACCCCTAGTATTTTCAGGATCTACCTTTGGAATGGCTGCTTTCTTCGATTGTTTTTAAGTAACTGAATTGCCTCTTATTATTCTCAAAGGAATGAGAATATTTCAATTACTGGAAATAGTAATATTTCATAGGGCATATTTGCTTTCTCCATTTTCCAGTGTAATTATCGCTCTTCTTTCTCTCATTTGATAAGCAAGGGGCTAGATTTGAATTCTGGGACACTTACAATATTGTCAGGAAAAACAGGCTATGCATTGTTACAATTTAGATATGCTAAAGGAGTTAAAAATATTTTGAAAATTAGATCCAGGAATATATTGTTTTTCGGACAATAGAAAAGCTTATATTATTTACATAGTAATAGGGTAGATTAGGTCAGGTAAACAATCCATTACAACAAATACTTTCGCTCCTATTTTTGTTTTGTAGTTGAATATTACATTTTAAGAACTTTGTATTGTTCTTTGAATGAATGTGCTAGAACCACCTTATATTGGAAAATAGCTCAGGAAGAACATGTGATTGTCTAAGAAAGTTTGTTGGACTTTTTCCTATAACAAAATAAGAGACATCCTATATCAGTTAAAACTTTTAACAAGTGATTTTCCAACCTAAATGATCACTTTATTCTTTAGACTCTTGAAGTCCCTGTCTTTTACCCATTCACTCCTCTTTTCTCTGAAGGCTTTATGAAGTTACTGGTTGGTACACTGCCTTTGAGACCCAAGTCATGTGGAAAAAAGACTTCTGACTTGAGAAGAAAAGCAAGGGCTTTTCAGCACAATCTCTCTAAGGAATCCCACCTAATCCCTACTCTTCTCCCTTTTGGTCTCTTATGATAGTCCTTCCCACTCTCAAAGGAGGAGCTCTTCCTTTTCTCCAGTGGTATGTAAACTTGGGAGTCAATTCCTTTCTAGATTTTTTTTTGTATTTAGATTTATATTATTGTCTCCCTTTAAAATGTATTCATTCATTCAAAATATATTTATTAAGAGCCTATTCTTTACCAAGGACTATAGTAGGTATTGGAGAAATGATGATCTAGATAAAGTTTGTGTTCTGCTACATTCTCTGGGAGAAATAAAAATATATGTGTTTGTGTGTATATATTTACATATATACATTTATTTAATAAATATAATAGTTTGCAGGCAACAAGAAGGAATTTGAAAGTAAAGGAGAGGAGGCAAATTAACTGGGGAGTATGGATGGGCTATTTTAGATAGGTAGATTTTTAAAAAACATCTCTAAGGAGGTAATACTTGAACAAAGACTTGACTGAAGTAAGGGCAGGAGTCAGGCCAGTCTGTGCAGGAACAGTATTGCAGACAGATGGAGTAGTAAACGTAGAGAGTTTAGGGTGGGTGTTAACTTAGTAGGAGGAACAGAAAAGCATAATTAAAGAAGAGTGAATGATAGAGTAATTAAGAAATAAATATAATTTGGCAACTCCAGAAAAGGAGTTCAAATTTTATGCTTTGAGGTGGTGCCCTCTGACTTCTGGTGAAAGAAAATGCACATCCTCTCTGAAGGAAAGTAAGAGGGTTTTAGAATTCTCACAAATTAAGATCAACAAAAGATGAGCTCACAAAGATCATCCAACCCACAAGGAAACAGGTCATAGGTGAGTGATAGATAATCTAAAGAAACAACAGATTACATGGCAAATGATTTCACATATTGGTATTTTTAGATATAAATATAAAATGTTGGTGAAATGTTTAAAGAAATAAGCTAAATCACAAAAATAACAAGCAATAAGAGATTTTCATAGAGGGTCAGATTTGAAAGAGAACTAAGAACATTTCTAAAGGTTCTGTTTAGATATTTTTAAAAATAATCATCAATAGATTGATAAGTTTGAATGAAAATTGTTTTCTTTATAAAAAGACATAAAGAAAATAAAAGACCTTGAATTGGGTGAATATATTTGCAATTCATATTGACAACAATGAAATTAATACCTAGAATATAAAAAGCTTTTATAGATTAAGGAAAAGGAAATATTTTGTTTTTAAAAAGTGGGTAAAAGACATTCATAGGCAGTTCAAGAAAAAGGAAATAACAAATCAAGGAGGTAAAAGACCTATACTCTGAAAACTATGAAACATTGATGAAAGAAATTCAAGATAATACAGTTGGAAAGATATACACTGCTCGTGGATTGGAAGAATTAGTAATTGTTAAAATGTCCATACTACCCAAAGCAAACCACAGATTCAGTGCAATACCTAACAAGATGCCAATAGTATTTTTCATAAAACTAAAGCTAAAATAATTAATCTACAACAAAGGAGGCAACAAGAGCCAGTTGGGGGAAAGAGAGTCTTTTGAATAAATGTTTTTCTTTGTTCTGGAAAAACTGGAGAGCTACATGCAAAGGAATGAAACTACACTACTTTCTTACACCATACACAAAAATAATCTCAAAATGGGTTTAAAACCTAAATTTGAGACCTGAAATCATTAAACTAAAAGAATACATAGGCACTAATCTTTTAATAAGCTCTTGGGACTACATGAAAATAAAAAGCTTTTGTACACCAAAGGAAACCCATGAATAAAATGAAAAGACAACGTACTGAATGGGAGAAGATATTTACAAATGATATGTCTGATAAGGGGTTAATATCACTATTTTGTTTAAAAAAAAAAAAGGGAGGGGCGCCTGGGTGGCGCAGTCGGTTAAGCGTCCGACTTCAGCCAGGTCACGATCTCGCGGTCCGTGAGTTCGAGCCCCGCGTCAGGCTCTGGGCTGATGGCTCAGAACCTGGAGCCTGTTTCCGATTCTGTGTCTCCCTCTCTCTCTCTGCCCCTCCCCCGTTCATGCTCTGTCTCTCTCTGTCCCAAAAATAAATAAACGTTGAAAAAAAAAAAAAAGGGAAAGGAAATACAAATAGCCAACAGACATGAAGTACTATTGACTGAATAAATAAATAAAATTTTACAAGGGATTACTATTTAGCAATACAACAGCCAAAACGTGGAAACGACTCAGATGTCTAGCAGCTGATGAATGGATGAATAAAATTTGTTATATCTTTAAATGGAGTATTATTTAGCAATAAAAAGGAGTTCTGGTACATACTACAACATGGATGAGCCTTGAAAACATGCTAAGCGAAAGAAGCCAGATGCAAACACTGTATATTACATTATTTCATTTATATGAAATGTCTACAATAGACAACTATAGGGACAGAAAGTAGATTAGTGGTTGCCAAGTGCTGGGGGTGGGAGATGAAGGTGAATTGGAGAATGGAAATAGAGAAATTGGAAATGACTGCTAATAGACACAGGTTTCTTTTTGAGGTGATAAGAATACAATCTCTAGATTGTGGTCATTGTTGCACAATTCTGTGAATACTAAAAATCATTGAATTGGAAAAAAAATCATTGAATTATATACTTTAAATGAATAAACTGTAGGTATGTGAATTATATTTGAACACTTTGGGAAAAAATATGGAAATAATTTCTAAATTTGTATGCATAGCTGGAGTTCGTTTAAAAATTCCAGATCCCTGGCCACACCTCAGACCAATTAAATCACAATCTCTTAGCATGGGATACAAATATTATGTTTTGAAGCTACTTAGGTTGTTCAAATGTTCAGACATGTTTGGTAACCACTACAATATATTACCTAAGAATAAATTTATTTATTATTTTATTTTAGATATATTTTTAGACAGAGAATACATGTGAGTGGGAGAGAGGGGAAGAAGGAGGGAGGGAGAAACAGAGAAAGAGAATCTTAAGCAGGTTCCACTCTCAGCATGGAGCCCGAGGCAGGGCTCAATCTCATGACCCTGGAATCATGTCCTGAGCCGAAATCAAAGAGTTGGCTGCTCAACCAACTGAGCCACCCAGGCGCCCCAAAATTTATTTTTGTTTTAAATTTTTGTTTATTTTGGGGCACCTGGGTGGCTCAGTCAGGTTAAGCGTTGTGTCTGACTTTGGCTCAGGTCATGACCTTGTGGTTTGTGGGTTTGAGCCCTGTGTTGGGCTCTGTGCTGACAGTTCTGAGCCTGGAGTGTGCTTCTGATTCTGTCTCCCTCTTTCTCTGCCCCTCCCCCGCTCACGCTGTGTGTGTGTGTGTGTGTGTGTGTGTGTGTGTGTGTGTGTGTGTCTCAAAAATAAGTGTTTTTATTAATGTTTGTTTATTTTTGAGAGAGAGCAGGGAAAGGGCAGAGAGAGAGAGGGAGACAGAATCCCAAGCAGGCTCTGCACTCTCAGTGCAGAACCTGATGGGGGGCTTGAACTCAGGAACCATGAGATCATGACCTGAGCCAAAATCAACAGTTGGTCAATTAACCAACTGAGCCACCCAGACGCCCCTATTTTTTTATTTGAGGGTTCACTCCATTTAGTTGCTATTGCCAGTATGCTTGGATTTATTTCTTCCCTATTTTATGTTTTTTGTCTACTCTTAATCTTCTGTGCTTCCTTCTTTTATTTCTTTCCTAATAATCAGGATGGATACATCTCTTTTTTTTTTTTATTTATGTTTATTTATTTTTAAGAGAGAGAGCACACACATGAGCCGACGTAGGCTAGAGAGAGATGGGGAGAGAGTATCTGAAGTGGGCTCTGCACTGACAGCAGAGAGCTTGATGTGGGGCTTGAACTCACGAACCGTGAGATCATGACCTGAGCTGAAGTTAGACGCTTAACTGACTGAGCCACCCAGGCATCCCTGTTTTGTTTTGTTTTTTTTAAACTCCATTTTCCCCCTTGTTTAATTTGGAAGATGTATACTATTTTTTATCCTTAGTGGTTATCTTTAATTTTTTGTCACATGTACTTTATTTCTTTTAATGCAAATATAGCTTTGTAGTTTTTTATTAATTGTAATGATGTTTGAAAAATATACACATTTAATGAAAATTAAATATTTTATTAATTATTAAATGTTTTAATATTAAGGCACTCATTCAATCCACATACAGTGTTTTTACACTGCTTTGCAGAAGTCTTTTCTTTTTTTAAAGTTTTTATTTAAATTCCAACTACCATACAGTACAACACTAGTTTCAGCTGTAGAATTTAGTGATTTATCACCTACGTACAACACTGTGCTCATCACAAGTGCCCTCCTTAATACCCATCACCTATTTAACACATTACTTCACCTACCTCCCCTCCAGCAACTATCAGTACTGTATAATTAAAGAGTCTGTTTCTTGGTTTGCCTCTCTTTTTCTTTTTTTCTCCCTATGTTCTTTTATTTTGTCTCTCAAATGCCACATATTTGGGGTGCCTGAGTGGCTGTCGGTTAAGTGTCCAACTTGGGCTCAGGTCCTGATCTCGCAGTTTGTGAGTTCAAGCCCCGCCTCGGGTTCTGTGCTGACAGCTGAGCCTAGAGCCTGGTTCAGGTTCTGTGTCTCCCTCTCTCTCTACCCCTCCCCTGCTGGCACTCACTCTGTCTGTCTCTCTCAAAAATAAATCAACATTTAAAAAAAATTTTTTTAATGCACATATGAATGAAATCATATAGCAGTTGTCTTTCTCTGACTGACTTCGCTTAGCATAATACATTCTAGTTCCATCCATGTTGTTGCAAATGGCAAGATTTCATTTTTTATGGCTGAGTAATAGTGCATTGTATATATATATATACCTTCTTGATCCATTCATCAGTCAATGGACATTTGGGTTGTTTCTGTAATTTGGCTGTTGTTGCTATTTGGCTATGCTGCTATAAGCATTGGGGTACATGTATCCCTTTGAATCAGTACTTTTGTATCGTATGGGTAAATATCTAATAGTACGATTGCTGGCTCATAGGATAGTTCTACTTTTAACGTTTTGAGGAACCTCCATATTGGTTTCCAGAGTGGCTGTACCAGTTTGCATTCCCACCAACAATGTAAGAGGATTCCCCTTTCTCTGCATCCTGACCAACATCTGTTGTTGGGAAAACTGGACAGCAACATGCAAAAGAATGAAACTGGACCACTCTCTTACACAATACACAAAAATAAGTTCAATGGGTTGAAGACCTAATTGTGAGACAGGAAACTATCAAAATCCTAGAGGAGAACACAGGCAGTAACGTCTTTGACATTGGTCGTAGCAACTTCTCACTAGATAGGTCTCCTGAGGCTAGGAAAACGAGCAAAAATAAACTATTGGTACTACATAACAATAAAAATCCTCACAGTGAAGGAAACAACAAACTGAAAAGGCAACATACAGAACGGGAGAAGATATTTGTAAATCACATATCTGATAAGGGGCTAGTATACAAAAGAACTTACCAAACTCAACACCCAAAAAACAAAGAATCCAGTTAAGAAATGGGCAGAAGACATGAATAGACATATTTCCAAAGAAGACATAGAGATGACTAACAGTTATGAAAAGGTGCTCAACATCAATGAAATACAAATCAAAACTGCAGTGAGGTATCACTTCACACCGAACTGACTACAATTAACACAAGCAGCAGCAAAAGTCCTGAGTAAACTATATGCCCCACCCTCACATCTGGGATTTCAAGGCAACCAGCTGAGAAACAGAAAGGATTGGGTCTACCTTGAAATAAGTTGGAAGCTGTTGTGACAGTGAGTTGAGCTTCTATAGAGAGATGAAACACTGACCTCTCTGTGTCAAATGTATATTTCACTGTCAAAAATCAGGAGCATACCAGCAGTATATGACTATACTCTTTTTCTGTACCTTTACCAACACTACATACCTGTGATTGCTGGTGAGTTTAAATATTTTGGGAGTATTTCTGCCTGTTTTGGTCGTTTAATCATTATCATTATTGTTTCTGTCACTTAAATACTTAACAATGGTTAAAGTTAATGTTTCCTTTTTCCCCAGAACAATATAAAAGATATATGAAGGATCTGAAAGTGCCTTTAACTATGGTTCATCTTTCCCATCTATTATGTTACTGTCTGATGTTTTAATTGTTTTCTTTTAAACCCTCCAAATGGGCATTATTTTTGTTTTATAATGACAGTGTTTGCTTGTAGATTTATTCATATGATTATCCTTTTATTTGCACTCTATTCCTCTTCATTATACCTTCCATTGAGATGATTTTATTTGTCATGAAATACA